CGTTACATGCCTGACTCGCCTGCTCTAGAAGCAGGATCGAAGCAATACTCTAGCTCGCACTTGCATGAAGAGCCTGACTTGCGAGTAGCCATGCCAGCGACATCCAAGCACGTATACCCCTTAGCAGTGCATCAAGATTTCTCCGCTATCTCTCAGCTAACTATGGAGCAAGAGCTTCTGACACCTGTCAAATCAGAATCCGAATCTATTGCGGTAGGCACCCTAATTTAGGGCTGTACCATAGAACCCCTCCGCATCTCCGTGTACTATATATATTGGATAGGTTTGATTGGTCATCATGCATAAAGACGCATTGCACTCGCCGAGATGGCCACCGCCCCAGGGCGTGCCCACAAACAACACGCTCAGTGGTGTTGAGGCGATGGCACAGCGTTATGATCGTGTCCCCACTACGCCAAGCGGCCGACGTGATAGGAATTTGTATTACCATGATGTTGCAGAGCCCCAGTCACCAACATATCCTCCCAAGCGGAAGTCTCGCCTAAGCTTAAGATCGAATATGCGCCGCGAGTCGATCGAGAGCTTCTACTCTGCTATAAGGCCCAACGAAGCTCCAGGGGAGGCTTTGCTTGTCGATTCTGCCAACACGAGTTCCTTCATGCCCCCCAGGCAGTATAGTCAGGACACTAGCATGATGGGAGATCAGGAGTCTAGGCCGAGTATGTCCTTGACGCCCACGTCCAAACGCACCTTCAATGGGGATGTTGAGCAGATGCAGGCCCCAGATACTACGACTCGGAGACGTCCCTTCAGCACGCAGTCGAAAATGCCCTCTCGAGGTGTAGTGGTTTTGCATCCAACACAGGCAGAGCCCGACGACTACCTTCATATCCCGGATAAGAATGTCGATGCTCATTCGATCCGGCCCACATGGCGCGGCTGTTTGAATTGTATTACCCTTTTCCTCATCGCATGTGGTTTGTTAATGCTGTTCATCGGTTACCCTCTTGTTGCCAACTTTGGCGGCGACTCGTACAATAATATTGGTGACCGATTTATCAACAATGCAAAGTCACCGGCTATTCCCATGCCCCCGTTGATTGATCCAGACACACCAAAAGGAGCCTATTCTAGGAAAAGCCAACATGATCAGAGTGAATGGGATCTTGTGTTCAGTGATGAGTTCGAAAAGGAGGGGCGCACATTCTGGCCAGGGGAAGATCCGTTCTGGGAGGCGGGTGACTTTTACTATCTTGCTACTCAGGATTACGAATGGTACACGCCTGAAGCGATTCGCACGGAAAATGGGTCTTTGGTTATTACCATGGAAAACATTGTGGAACACAATGCCAACTTCCGTTCTGGTATGCTTCAATCATGGAACAAGTTTTGTATCCAAGGAGGCTATGTGGAAGCCAAAGTCGTTCTTCCCGCTGAACCGACCACGAAAGGGTACTGGCCCGGCTTCTGGATGATGGGGAATTTGGGACGACCAGGTTACCTGGGTACAACCGATGGAATGTGGCCCTACTCGTATTACCAGTGCGATGTGGGTATTCTTGAGTACCAACAATATCTAAATGGTACAGGGCCACGTGCTGCCATTCACGCTACGGCAACCCACGAAAAGTCAAAAAATATATCGTCACTGCCCGGTATGCGTTTCCCTGCATGCTCGTGCTCGGGTCAAGAGCACCCTGGACCTAACAGACACACGGCACGCTCGGTGCCTGAGTTGGATGTTTTCGAGATGCAAGTGATGGAAGATGGCACATACGCGTCGCAGTCCTACCAGATTGCTCCATTTGATGACAACTACAGGTGGTATACCAACTCCTCTTCCTATGTCATCCACGACAAAGATGTAACAGAGAGGAACGATTATTCTGGTGGCCCAACGCAGGAAGCATTGTCATGCGTGTCCCGTGTGCCTGACTCGGCCTTTTTCGATACAGATGGCGAAGGATCTGTTATGGGCGTGGAATATATGCCTGATTTTTCCCGCAATGGGCAAGGATATGTTACATGGTATGTTGATGGGAAAAAGACATGGACGCTGTTTGAAACGGCCCTGTCGCCCAACAAAAAGACGCAGATCGGACAGCGCACACTGCCGCTAGAACCCATGTCGCTAATTCTCAATTTGGGTATTTCTCAGGGCTTCCAGAACATTGAATGGGACGATATCAAGTTCCCGGCACACTTGGCCTTTGACTACGTACGGGTGTATCAGAAGCGGGGCGAGCCTCGGCGGATTAGTTGTGATCCTGATGACTTTCCTACTGCTGAATACATCAGAAACAATCCGGACTTGTATTCCAACAGCAACATTACAAGTTTCCTGAACTCGACTACCCACCACAGGACCTGGCCCAAGAATACCTTGAAAGACAGTTGCTAGGGTTGTTGTATTTGTAGATCAGCATAATTAGTCATCACTGAAAGGCGCAGGCGCCCGTCGATTTTGGCCGGCTCTGACGACACGGAGCGCGTATGACAGCGTGACGAGGTGGGCTTTACTTGTGCTAGACTTGGGTATTCATGGAAAAACCTGAAGAGACGCAGTCAAGGAGCCCAACTCCAAGGTTGTGGCCGCAAGGAAATGCCCCAGCACCCGCTGGACCGCCTGCTCTGGAAAAGCTCAAAATGCATTGGACCTCCCATATGGACCAGTACGACATTCTTTCACATCCCCAGAGCCAGTCGCTTCTTCCCTACTTTATTTCTTCTCAGCCGCATAACGATTCAAATCCAAAACCTGTAGCCAGCGGCTCTTCGGCGATGGAGAGCCAGCGAAGCCGCTCGAGCTTGGACTGGACGCATCCTATGATGCCCAACAGGCCCTATATGGGTAGTTTTCAGCCCTCAGGCCCCTATGGGAAAGACCCGCTTTGGAGGTCGCAGCAGATATCCTATTTGCACTCGGCGCAACAGCATCGATACCGGGGCCTGTCGAGGAGCGACCCGTACGGGGCCGTACGGGTTGCCCCGGATGAACAGGAAAAGGAGGATTTGCAAGGAGCCGAGGCGGCGATGCTCCAACTGGAAGATTTGAACCCGGCTCATATTCCCGAGGTGGACATGCATCTCGTGCAGCAGTACATCCCGACGCATTTGCAGTGGCTCTTTGAGCCTTTGAATACCAAACATCAGCCGCATCTGGACAAGCTGCGTGACCGAAAAAGGAAGTTGGAAGAGGCGTGGTCGACGGGAGATTTGAGTCTGTCGGAGGACGCAGCGCTGATCATGCAGGAAGCCAAATCGAAGCGCAAGGCGTCCGCTCAGGGCCTCCTCTCCGAGGCAGAGAAAAAGGCTAACCACATTGCTTCGGAACAAAAGCGACGAGCAAATATCCGCAAAGGCTATGATATGCTATGCAGCATGGTACCTGGACTCGATAAAAATCATATGGAATCGACACAAAAGAAGCCCCTTGTCGGTGATGAAGATGCCGGCGACCAACGGGGCAGCAGTCTCAGTGAGATTTTCATTTTGGAGGAGGTATTGGAGCACCTAACCCGTCGCCTAAAGGATCACCACATGCTTTTGTTGCGAAAGCACGAGGCGCAGCAGCGAGTTCTCTCACAGCGAAGGCGGATGCTCCCCTAATGGTTGCGTTTCTTGTAGAATGTCTGATATGTCATCCACGACAGAAAGCCCCCTTGCTTCCATAATAGCGTCGTTTTGGAATTTCGACAAATGCCGCGCGCCCGAGTCGGCTAGGATCGTCACCACAACAGGACGATCCTCTGGGTGTGGCGCCTGCTTCTTTAGGTGCAGAGCCGTCCGCACAGCAGCTACACAGTGCACGGCGGACGATGAGCCAAGGAAGAGGCCGTCATGTGCAGCAAGCCACCGCGACATGCGCACAGCTTCATCGTCGGTCACCTGAATGGCGGTGTCAATAAAGTCCAACCCCAGCTCGAGGTTGTGGGTGAGTCGGTTCAAGCCAATGCCTTCCACGACCGTATCAACCTGGTGGCGCCGGCGTGTGCCCTCTGCCTCGGTCGCATTGTACATGACGCCAAACTTGATACGATTGTACACGCCCGAGCCCGGCGGGTCAGCGGCGACTGTGAGGGGTGGTGGTCCAGCGGCAGGGTCCGCGACACTCTTTAGGTATGCCGAAACACCAGCGAGTGTGCCGCCGGTACCTGCACCCGTCACAAAGGCATCGATCCGGCCGCTGGTTTGGCGCCAGATTTCTGGGCCCGTGTTCTGGTAGTGCGCGTCAAAGTTGGCCTCCGTTTCAAACTGATCCGCAAAAAAGGCGCGTGCATAGGGCTGGTTTTCGCTGGGTGTCCAAGCCTGTGCGCGGGCTCTAGCTTCGTTGACAAACTGGATATGAGTAGTAAGAACGTACATGGCGTGGATCGACAATGCCGCGAGGCCGAACAGCCTGGACAACAGCGCCGAGGCTGCGGAGCAGTATGGCTTTTTCTTCGGCCACATCATCCGGCACAATGATGCAGCAGTTGTAGCCCTTCGCCTTGGCAAGGGTTGCGAGTGAAATGCCTGTCGACCCGACGGTACCTTCGAAAATCCAGGAGCCTGTATTGGGGACGAGAAGGCCATTGTTCTCCGCGTCGTTGATGATTTGAAGGGCAACGCGGTCCTTGGGGCTGCCGCCTGGATTGAGATGCTCAGCCTTACCGAGGATCTCGCATCCCGTCAAATCAGAGAGGCTCGCAATGCGCATAAGTGGCGTATTGCCGATGAGCCCCTCAATACCTGGCACAATCGAGCCGCTACGCTTGAGCTCAATGGGCTTAAACTCGGAGCTTGGCTCATCGGCGGGCCGCCGCCGAGACGCGCGACGAAGGACTTTGCGCCGCCAGTACGTAGTAAACCAGTACTTGTGAAGTTTGGCAAATGCCAGAGCACCGAGGCCAGTAGCTAGACCTACGACGAAACCGAAGCACCAAAGTGGGCCACGGCCTCGCTGGAACAGTTCGTGGATGCGCTCCACCGTCATGGGCATAGTGGGGCACAGAGGAATGCACGGACCTGGCAGGGGATGGAAGCGGGGGCAAAAAAAGTTCCCAGTCCGGGAGTCGAACCCGGGCCTTGTCGGCGCCGCACTCAAGGTGAAAGCGACATATACTAACCGCTGTACTAACTAGGACACCTTGTCCACTCTTCGGCCGATGAAACCCTAAAAGGGGAGCAGGCACGAACGGGATGTAGCAAAAATAAGTTCCCAATCCGGGAGTCGAACCCGGGTCTTGTCGGCGCCACACAGCGAAGCTTATGAGAGCGACATATACTAACCGTTGTACTAACTAGGAGAACAGGTTGAAAGTGACTGGCCTTACGGCCTGCATAACCTGACTGCTCTATTGCCCTGGCCCCTTCTGGCCCTACGAGCAAGTGGGAGCTGCGACGCACTGCTCCGCACGTCCGTTCCACTTATGGCGGGCGAGACTTTGTGCGTGTGCCCATGTGCAGCCATTCGCGCTGACCGTAGGCAACGACCCCCTGTGCGTTAGGACAAATGGGCCCAATTTCCTCCACGTACTTGGAGCCACCGCTTGGTCGGCGCTGGCAGGAGCGGCATCTGGACAAGCGCATGTAGCTCTGTCAGGCACGGCTCCACGATCGATGGCGCCATACAAGTTCTGTGCTGCGCAAGAGGCTGCTGCAGCGAGCAAGCCTTCATGTCAAGCTGCTGCACGGCCCAGCCGTGGTGCATCGAGGCCCCGGTGAGCAATAACAGCGCACAGCCCGCCTCGAGCTCATACAGCGGGACCTGCATCCATGGCTGCCCATGCAGGAGGAGCGCCTGTAGCCATGCGCGCACGGCGCCCATCGCGCGAAGTACGCAAAGCCGGTGCATTTCTCCCAACAGGCGCGCGGCATCGACGATGCATGCGCCCTCCGCCTCCGCATGCAGAGACGGTCGACGTGCGTGGGGACTGTTCGCCTGCGGCACTTGGAGATGGGCGGTGCTGTGCGCAGCGCTGCCGTCGCGCTCGTGAATGAGTGCAAACTTGGCGAGCCACATGTGCTCAAAGAGCAGGCGCAGCAGCGTTGACGTGGGCACATGCGCAGGCACAGGGACGTGCGCATCGCGCAGCACCGGCAGCTGGGACGTCGGCAAGAGGCGCGTATCCGTGCCGGCCTCCTGGGCCTCCCAGCGGCGCACGTACTCTGTCCAATGCAGACAAAAGTACGCCATGAGCTGCGGCCGCACAAATGGGCGTTTCGGGTCCTGCACAGCCGTGTACCACACCGTATCGATGATGTGCTGCACGAGCCTGAGTGTCAGATCAGCGCCGACCATGGCCGCGAGCTTTTGGGCCCACAGGATGTGTGTTGCGTCCGGCGCCGCAGCGCGCGTCAGCGCCTGTGTCAGGGAGCGCACGCGGAAGCTCGGTGGGCTGTGCGCGTAGTCGTCCGTCGTGTGCGGCTTCCACGCACAAGTAAGCAGGTGCATCACCTGCCGCGCCGCCTGCTTCGCGACGTGGGGCATATGGGGCGTGAACTGATCACGGAACTCGACATGCGCAGTCGCGAGACGCGTGAACACGAGGTCCAACCGCCACGCCAACTTCTCGAACGCTGCCTGGTCGCGCGCGAGCAGGGTGCCGACGTACGCAAACTGCCACTCGGGTGGCACCGCAGCCACGCCGGCCGGCCGCGCCGTCTTGGCGACAATCGCGCGGATATCCGCCTCGGGGGGAGACACGACGATGGTTGGCGGTGCTGGCGACGACGGCGGAGCACACGACCACATGCGCCCCGGCGTACGGGGCGTAAGCTGGCCATGCACGCGCGAGTGGATGGGCTGCACGGCGAGGAACGGTGACGATGGGCTGCGTGGCTCGAGCGGCGGGAGCGTGCGGCGGCGCGGAATCGGCGCTTTGGGCACGCAGGCCGTGCGTGGGCGCTTGGCGCTGGGTGCGTCGCGCGCCGCGGGTGCGCGCTTTTTGACGATGGTATCACTGCTACTGGACCTGGGCTCGGCGCTGCCTGGCGACGACCAGGACTCGGGGCTCGTTCCTTGTGGGCGCGCCAGGGCCGGCGCGTTCGCGCGGGTGTGGCGTTCGAGCGATGTGAGGGCGTGGCGCCACAGCTGTCGTTCCGTCATGATGAGAGTGGGATGCAAGAGGCTACCCCGATCCTCCGCCGATGCAGATGCAGTGCGTATGCTGCGCTGCCGCGCGCTGCGACTCGGCTTTGGCGTGCACAGTGAGCGTGTACATACCCTGCGCGAGGAAGCACAGCGTCTTGGTGCATGTGTCGTTCGGTGCGATGCTTGCCTGCCATGTGCCGTCGGCGACCATGACGTGCGTCGTGGCGCCATCGATGGCTGCGTGCGCCGCAAGACGCACCGACACACGACCTGCGTGCGCGTGCGACACACGAACATGCACCGGCACGAGCGCATCGACGTCCGCGGCCGGCGGCGCGTCCATATGGATGTGCAGCGTCGGCTGCCGCAGGCACTCGGCCTGCGCGGGCGTCGGCCACGGCGTGCGCAGCGAAAGGACGCCCTCGGCGCCTGCCCCGTCTGTCCACTGCGCCTGCACGCTGCGCAGGACCTCGTCGCGTACCCAGAACTGCATGCGGCGCTGCGCCTGCGCGTCCTCCGAGAGGGTCGTCTTGGGCACCACGTACTGCCGCGGCATGAGCACAGGCATCGGCTCGGCAAGGGCGGCCTCGGAGAGGGCGCGCGGCGCCCACGGCACAGCGACACGCGTCGTCGAGTGCGGAGGCAGCGCGCGCGACACGCTCAGACGCGGCCCGTCCGGCGCAGCCAGCACACTCAGCCGCGCATGCCGCGTGTGCGCTGTGGGGTTGTGCAGGTCCCAGGCAAGCAGTGCCGCGCTGGGCCACGCCTCGGCGGGCGGCGCGCCGAGGTTGCGTGCGAGGCGCTCGGCCGTGGCCCCAGCGATCGGCTTCACATGCCAGGCGGCCACACTGACACTCGGCTCAACACAGAGCGGGATCGTCAGCTCGGTCGTCCGCAGGCACAGCGGCTCCGACTCCGAGGCGCCATACCACACATTGACGCGCGCCCAGGAGCAGTCGCGCCGCCCCCGCACAGTCACACGTAGATCGACCGAGGCGCGCGGCGCCAGGTGCTGCGGCACACTGCCCTCGAGCGCAAGCACCGGCGCATGGAGCAGCTGCCACTCGAGCTCGTGCACCTCGCCCGTAGCGCGATCGCCCTGGGCCATGGCCTCGTGCATCGGCGCTTGCGTCGGGTCCTCCCACTCGACGCGCACGAAATTCACCGCCACGTCGCTCGTATTCGTGAGGCGCACATGCACATGCTTACACTGACCCTCATGCAGACGCAGCGCACCGCGAGCGTCCACAAGCGCCGCCTGCACTTGCGGGAGAGCAGGGAGCACACGCCCGACCAGAGCTGGCGGGGCGCGCGTGAACGACGCCTCCAGCGCCTCCATCGACGCTGGCGCCGCCGCCGCAATACTTCGCACGAGCGCGGCGGCCGGCCGCGCCGCGAGACCACTTGCGCGCGGCTCATCCGCGCTGGCCGCGCGCTGGGGCACGCACAGCTCGTACGGCTCGGTGCCCTCGAGTTGCGCCGTGCACCCGTGCATCTGCAGCTCGCCGGCGGCCCGCGGGACGACACGCAGGCGCGACATGCTCGTGCCTGGCGCGAGCGTCACGCGCGTCGGCTCCGCGTCGACATGCACGCCTGTCGTGCGCAGCACCACCTTGTCGAGCGCGAGCGGCACCGGCCAGGGGTTGTGCCACGTGACATCCACCACGAGCGGCTCGCCGACGATCCACGGCGGCTCGGCGCGGGTGGGGCGCGTGGCGGCTGCAAACGAGGCCGCGGAGCGCAGCACGGGCGCGGCGCGTGCGGGGCGCGGGTGCACGGCCATGGCGCGCAGGATGTCGCGCGGCCCCCACCACCGCAGCAGCAGGTCCGGCGCGCCGTGCCACCGCGCGCGGGGCAGTGCCTCGTGCAGGCCTTGCACAACTGCTGCGAGATCGTGCGGCGCAAGTCCGCCGTGGCGCAGGAGGAGCACGGCGAAGAACAGCTGGCCGATGTGCTCGTGGACGCTCTCGCATTGCACCAAGAGGTCCTTGAGCAGCTGCACCTGCAGCTCGCGCCACCCGAACGGCGCACGCGCGGCCTGGTGCCGCGCCACGGCGGCGCTCGCGCTCAGCGCGGGGAGCCACGCCTGCGCCTTTTGCACGCCGAGTGCGCTGGCGAGCAGCTCCGTGTACTGGTGTGCACACACGCGGCGGCGTGCGCGCTCGAGAATGTGCGTGCGCGGCACATGCAAGAGCGGCGTCGTGAGGATATCGAGGCCGTACGCGTCGCATGCCACGAGGCCGAGCACGAGCGCGGGGTTCGCGTGGGCGTACAGCCCATCGAGCTCCTCGACGTGGGGTGCGCCTGCGCGCACCTCGTCCCATGCGATGCTCGGCACCGGCCGCGTTGCGCGCGCGGCCAGCGATTGCGCAAGGAGCCCGCTTACGATCGCGCTGAGGATGCGCGCCATGTGCGCGGCGCTGCGCGCCGAGCCGATCAGGCTGAGCAGGTGGTACATGGCGCTGAAGATCGATAGCTGGTCCGGCGCGGGCAGCAGGCGCAGCGACGACGTGCAAGCCATGTGGACGGCCGCGACAATCTCGTAGCGGTACACGCCCGACACGGCAGCGAGGTGCGCGTGCTCCGCAAACGTGAGCGGCACCCCCGTATCGAGCGCGGGCGGCACGCCGCCGAACACGAGCTGGTCAAAGGCCTCGCCGTTCCAGCCGCCCGACGCAAAGAGCGCGAGGAGGAAGCGCGCGTACGAGAGGCATGCACTCGCGTACACGAGCGGCGGCGTGTAGTCGCGCGGCGTCTCGTTGGTCATGGAGCGCGCCGACTCGAGCTGGACGTGCGGCGGCGCGAGGCACTGCCGGTATATGGTCAGCGCGAGGCCGTACGCCTCGGCCACGTCGCGCCACGCCTGCGAGTCGGGGCCCGGCTCGCGCACTTCCTTGTCGCGCCCGGGCGTCAGGGGATACAGCCGCCCCGGCGCCTGCGCGGCTGCATCGCCGCCGAGGCGCGCAGCGAGTGTGCGAGCGACGGCCCAGCCCTCGAGCGCGGCGGCGAACCACACGGCGTCCTGCCCGCCAGCGAGCGCGCGCTCCTTG